CCGCAAGTTTGCGAGTTGCACTAGTTGGCAGGCGGAGAGGCCCGAACGGCCATGGAGGAGGAGCGGGGGTCGCCGCTGGCGGCCGAGTCGGCGCTGGAGAAGAACGTGGCCGAGCTGACCGTCATGGACGTGTACGACATCGCGTCGCTCGTGGGCCATGAGTTCGAGCGGGTCATTGACCAGCACGGCTGCGAGGCCATCGCGCGCCTCATGCCCAAGGTCGTGAGGGTCCTGGAGATCCTGGAGGTGCTGGTCAGTCGCCACCACGTCGCGCCCGAGCTGGACGAGCTGCGCCTCGAGCTGGACCGCCTGCGCCTGGAGAGGATGGACCGCATCGAGAAGGAGCGCAAGCATCAGAAGGTGGGCAGTGGCCTCAGTCTGCCCACCTGGGCAGTGAGGCTCTGGGAACCAAGGACCCTTCAGCCTCGGGCAACTGCAGGTGGCCGTGGATGTGTATGTGTAACAGAGACTAGAGTAAGGAAAGGCAGTTTCCTCTCATTCTTAGTCTGAAGGGTCTGCCAGGAGCGTCCAGGGCTGAGGTTATGGCAGGAAACATCCAGTCCGTCCTGGATGAGGGAGGGAGGCCCCTGACCCTCTCTGCCCAGCCATGGGCAGTCGGCATGTACCACCAGTAGGTTAAGAGCACTTCTCTAGAGTCAGACCTGAGTTCCAGTGCCACCTTCACCTGCTTAATATCTCTGTGACCTTGGGTAAGTTGCTGAACTTCTCTGTGCTTTGTTGCCTCATCTGTCAAATAATAATCAAAATAGAATCCACCATTCTTATTAAATGTGATGATGTAGATAAAGTGCTTGGATATTATTCTCTTCCACAAATTAATAAGTCCCCTGCCCTTCAGTGTGACCCTAGAAGACCTTACACCAGTTACACCAGGCCCCTTTTTTGTTCTACCTCAAGTTCCCCCAGAGCAGAGATGTGTGACCTCTTAACCACTAAGCCCTCAGCCTCTGGGCTTATATTTGCAACTTTCTTCCTAGCCTTCCCTTAGTTTATTAACCTGTATTCCGAAGTGCTCTCTCTGCCTTGATTTTATCTTGAATCCTCACAGAACTCTAGGAGGTAGGACTTCATTTTACAGATGAGGAAACAGAGGGTCAGAGTGCAGGAGGGATTTGTCCCATTAGCCATGAAAGAGTCCCAGGCCTAGAGGAGGTAATCCCAGTGTCTCTTCCCCACTCTGCTGGAATTGGGGGAAGGGGATGCTCCAAGGTCTAGCCTCTGCCCTGGGAGCTGAAGCTTTTTAAATGGGGGCCTCCCCACTGTCCAGACGAGGTGCCTGAGGAAAAGGAAGTGGGAGACATGTGGTTTCCTGCCCTAACCTCAGGCCTGGAGCGCCTGGCAGACCCTTCAAACCGAGAATGGGAGGAAACTGCCTTTCCCTGGGGGATCAGGATCTGGGTGCCAAGCAGGCTCTGGCTTGCTGAGTGGCCTCAGGAAGTTCAGTTGGCCTCTCTGAACCTCTCTGGCAGGCCATCATCTCTTCTATGCTGGGTGTGCTGCCTATTCCTGAGGGCAGGTCCGCTGGTGGGTGAAGACCCCTTGCTTCAGGGCTCACTGTTTCTGTCCTTGGGGATCCTATACCCTGGGGCCAGGAAGAAACTGGAGCTCCTAAGAGTTGGGTGACCAAGGTCACACCGGGAACTTGGACAGGCCCAAGTCCTATAATTAATTTCAAGATTCCTAGGAGCAGGGACTTTGGAGCTAGATAGCCGGTTTCAAATCCCAGCACTCACAGGCTATGTGAGAGTGGGCAAACCCCCTAGCCACTTTGGGCCTCAGTTTCCTCAGCTGCAAAGTGGGGGTAACCATGGCCCCCAGCCTGTAGGTGGGGGTTAATATGCACAGAGGGCTAGGGCCGGAGCCTGCCCAGGAGGGGCTAGGCAGTGGGAGCTTTAGGTCTGAACCCTCGCCTAGGTGCCCACGGGATGATATCGGGGACCCCCGACCCCAGACACCTCTGCTCCTGCCCCGGCACCTCCTCGTTGCCGGGGCCTGGGAGGGAAGGGACTGGCCATCTCCCAGGAAGTTGGCTTTATTTTCAGGGCCTGCAGGGCTCAGCCCAGGTCCCACAGAAGTCCTGGGGCGCCTCCGCCCCCCACCCCAGCTCTGGTTCTGCCCCTGCTGACCTGGGAGGCAGGCACCCGGAGGTCACCAGGCCACCTGCACTTGTTGCTTCTGGAATGCGGTCAGCGCCCCAGCTCTGGGCGTCCAGGGCCCAGGCTTGTTTGTAAACAGGGAGTCACAGCTGCCCGCCTGCCCAGCCCAGGCCTCTGCACTTGCTATTCTTGGAGGAGCGAGAGACTCCTCTGATGTTTCTTCTGCAGCTTTGATGATTCTTCAAGGTGCTGTTTCCACAAGAATCTTGTTAGTGAGCGTTGGTATGTCCTGTCCTCCCCCCTCCTCCTTTCCTTCCCTCCCCCGACCAGCCAGCCAGTCTGACTGCAGGGAAGCCTGCGCCCCTCCACCCACAGACACCTGGGCTCACTCAGTCAGCCCAGGCCACAGACCTGTTCTCTCCTTACTCAGTCTGCAACACTGTTGATGGGCCATGGCGTGCAGGGTGCTCTCCTCAGTGATGCAGAGCAGAGAAAAACTGGGTCTCACGTCAGGCAGCAGGACAGTGATGGGGATGACAGAAGACAGGGGAAACAGGCCATCTTTAGAAAACAGTGGCTGTGTGGATGCAAAGGCACAGACATGAGCAATGCCTGCCCTCATTCAACACAGGTGTTTCTTGAGCACCTACTATGAGCCAGGCACTGTTCTGGGCACTGGGGAGGCTGCAGTGACCATGACAGATGAGGATTTAGTCTGGTGGCCCTAGCCTTTTAGCTCATAGAAATAGAATGTGGCGGCCAGGCAGGGGGGTGCACACCTGTGATCCCAGCAACTTGGGAAGCTGAGGCACGAAGATTGCAAGTTGGAGGCCAGCCTTAGCAACTTAGTGAGGCCCTAAGCAACTCAGTGAGACCCTGTCTCAAAATAAAAATAAAAAGAACTGTGGAGTGGGGGAAGGCTCCGGCTTTAGCTCAGTGGCCGAGCACTTACCTACCACGTGTGAGGCCCTGGGTTTGATCCTTAGCATCACATAAAAATAAAGAAAATAAATATAAAGACAGGCGGTCCATCTATAACTACCAGAAAAAAAAAAAGGGGGACTGGGGACAGAGCTCCATGGTGAAGCACCCCTGGGCTCCATCCTCAGTACCAAAAAAGAAAAAAGAAAGACAGAATTTGGCAGATGGGGATGTGGCTCCGTGGTAGAGCACTTGCCTGGCGCGCATGAGGCCCTGGGTTTGGTTTTCAGCACCATTAAATAAAAAAAAAAAAAGGAAAGAAAGAAGGATATAGACTGTGGCCGGCTGTGGTAGTAGAAAGAGACGAGGTGAAATTTGATGCACCTTCTAGAGCCTGGTATATCCGGAGTATTTTCATGCCGACATATATTCAGTGTGAAAGTTGTTCATGAGATACTTCTGCGATCTACTCTTCCGGTGCCTTGTTGAAATCTGAGGTGTGCTTGACCCCCACTGCGTGTTTCAGTACAGATCAGCCACATCTCGAGGCTCCATGGCCACAGAGGCCTGTGGCTACTCTGTGAGATGGTACAGTTTTAACGTGAGAAGGTGGATTTTTTTTAAATTTTATTTTTGGTACTGTGGATGGAACTCAGGGGCACTTACCACTCAGCTCCATTCCCAGCCCTTTTTATTTTGAGACAGGGTCTTACTAAGTTACCCTAGCTGGTCCCAAACCTGTGATCCTCCTGCCTTGGCCTCCTGAGTAGATGGGGTTATAGGAGAGTGGCACATGGCTAAGAAGTACATTTTTTTTTTATATATTTTTTTTAGTTGTCAATGGATCTTTATTTATTTTTATATACGGTGCTGAGATTCAAACCCAGCACCTCACACATGCTAGGCAAGTGTTCTACCACTGAGCTATAACCTCAGCCCAGGAAATAAATTAAAAAAAAAAATCAGGTTGTGATTAAGTGGCACAAAGAAAATAAAACAAGGAGACATGAAAGGGACTGACTGGTGGAGGTCTACCAGCTGGGGAGACAGGAAATCTTCTCCAAGGAGGTGCCCTCTGAACTGAGATCCAAGTGCAGTGTAGGAGCCAGCCACAGAGAGCTCTGGGGGAAGCTTCCAGGCTGAAGACATGGCAAGTGCCAAGGTCCTGAGGTAGGAGTGCATGTGGCTCTGCAAGGAGCACAAATAAGACCAGTGTGGAGGAACAGAGGGAGTGGGAAACGGGAATGGGAGAGGAGGTAGGGAGGTGCTGGCCCTCATAGGCTGGAGAAGGGGTTTCAGGATGGTTGGGGCTGAGAGAAGCCCAAGAACTTCATGAGTCAGCAGTAACTCCCTGCAGCAGCCTTTTCCCGCTGTGTGAGGCAGGATTAAATTCCCCCTGGTCCTCCCAGAGGCAAGAACCTGCTCTCTAACACTGACCTCAGCTCACTGGGAGAAGGGAGCAGAAGAAGAGAAAGTTGACATCTGTCTTCATCTCCGGTGGGCAGGAGGAGGGTCTCAAAATAAAAGAGGCTGCAGATGTGGCTCAGTGGTAAAGCACCTCGGGTTCAATCCCTGGTACCACAAAATAAAAATAAACACCACAGCTAACCCCTCCCCCCCAAAAAAAACAGCCTAAATTTATTATGCTGCTGGACTGAGCCATCTTAGGAACACACGTGGATACAATGTGATACAGTGTTGTGGATCCCCGTGATACTGTCCATGTGGATAGTTCTGGATACAGTTCTGCAGTGGGGAAGTCAGGATTGGGCCGCACTGGGTTGAGATCCAGGAGTCAGGGCCCAGGGCGAGGCTCAGGGGAAGAGCACACGCTTAGCCCGAGCCAGGCCTGGGTCTGATGCCCGGTACCACGTGCACAAAAATAATGATGATGATGATAAAGTAAAACCAAGGCATAAGAAGGCTGCCTTCCTCCCGGAGGTTCTGGAGGCCAATTCTCTCCTTTACCATGTCCAGTCTCAGGACCCCGGCTGCACGCACCCCGTCTTCACAGCCAGCATGGCAGCATCTTCTGATCTAACTCAGATCTCTGTTTCGAGGCTGTGTGGCCCCAAACTCTGACCCCGGCTCCCCTTCCTCCCTCTTTTGAGGACCCTGTGATTTCACAGGCCCACCCTGATCACGCAGGACCATCCCCCCAATCCCAAGACCCTTAACTTTGCCGGGCACAGTGGCGCCCACCTGTAATCCCAGTGGCTCAGGAGGCTGAGGCAAGAGGATCACAAGTTTAAAGCCAGCCTCAGCAACTTAGTGAGGCCCTAAGCAACCTAGTGAGACCCTGTCTCTAAATAAATATAAAAAGGGCTGGGGGTGTGGCTCAGTGGTGAAGTGCCCCAGGGTTCAATTCCCAGTACAAAAAAAAAAAAAATCCTTGACTTAATCATAGCTGCCAAGTCCTTTTTTGCCACATAAGGAAACCTTGTCAGATTCTGGGGAATAGGGGAATAGGGTGTGGTCACCTTTGCGGACCATTGCTTTCTTGTCCTAGCCAGTTACACAGAACACTCTGATTCACGAAGCCTGCTGTATGCCCAGCCTGTGCCAGGTGGGGGCAGAGGCTCAGGGCTGCCGCATCCTGGTCAGCTTCCAGGCTGCACCTGTCCATCCTTCCTCCACCCCAGCCCCTGGCCTTCAACCAGCCCCTGAGGGTCTTCAACCAGCTGCCTATATGTTTAGTTATTCCCTCTCATCTCCCCAGTGCCAAGGCTTTCCGAGGGAGGAGATGGGACTGGGGAGCGCGTCTGGGCCTCGTGTGGCTTGTGGCCGATGGCAGGGGGACCAGAGTCATCAGGACCTGCCGGGGTAAGGCACTGTTTCCAGCCTCTGCAGGGAGTGACCACTTAATCCTCACGAGAACCTGTCTCCAGGGCACCCAAGGGTTAGATTGCCCACGACCAGCTAGTGAGTAGCAGAAACAGGACTCAAACTTTGAGCGACAGACCCCAGGATCTGAGCCCCTAACCACACTTGCATCTGACAGCTGCAAGGGTGCTTTGTGACTAGTTTATGGTTTTACCAAACTCCTCTTTTTGGAAGCTTTATTGAGTGTGATCCACATACAACTCACCTATTGAAAGTGCACCACTCAGAGGTCGCCAGCGTGTTCAGAGCTGTGCACGTCATTACAGTCAATTTTAGAACATTTTCATCACCCCAAAAAGAAAACACACACCCATGACAGTCACTCCTCATCCCGCATCCCCAGAGCTGTGCCTTCTGACTTTGGGAATCTACTTGTTCTGGATATTTCATAGAAATAAGACTATGAAAGCCTATTGTGGTGGCCCACACCTATAATCCCAGCACCTTGGGAGGCCGAGGCAGGAGGATTGCAAATTTGAGGCCAGCCTCAGCAACTTGGCGAAACCCTGTCTCAAAAAGTAAAAGGAGCTGGGGATGTGGATCATGATATAGTGCCCCTGGGGTCAGTCCCCAGTATCAAAAGAACAGAAAGACAGGAGCTCGTGTAGCACGAGGCCTGTTTATGTCCATGCAGTATTTCGTGTTTGAATACACCCCATTTTTTTTTAACCTGCTGATCAGTTGATGGACAGAGGTTGTTTCTACCTCAGGCTGCCACGCACGTCCACACCCATGTGTGTTGGTGTGGATGTGTGTCTTCGTGGCTCCTGGGGCAGCTGGGGCCCCTCTGTGTTGGCTGTGCTGGGAGCAGCCAGGCTGCTCTGAGTGCTTGCTATTCCTGTCCCATCAGCCACGTGTCTGAGCTCCCATTTCACATCCTTGTTACCATTTGCGATTATCTGTGGTTTTGGTTACAGTCATCCACAAAATACTCTTTTTGTTGTTATTTGAGGTTCTGGGGATTGAATCCGGCCACTTTACTGCTGAGCCACATCCCCAGCCCTTTTATATATATATATTTTTTTTTAAAGAGAGAGAGAATTTTTAATATTTATTTTTTAGTTCTCGGCGGACACAACATCTTTG